TCTGCCTCCCGGGGCGGGTGGGGGGGTGTGAGAGCCGGGCTGCCCGCGGGGTAACGCTGTGCTCTGCTTCTTCCCTCCTCTAGGCCCGAGGGGACCCCTTTCGAGGACGGTAAGTGCGGGGCTACGTACGGGCCCGGTGTTTGGCTTTCTCGGGGTAAACTGCTGCAGCTTGACACGGCCTTGGTGTGTCCCTGCCGTGGGCTTTGCAACAGGTGTGGGCCTGGGGACGGAGAAGGGGCACGGGTGCGTATTCACCTGACCACACATCCGTATGCTGGACTTGCGTAAATTTTTTTTTTTTTTTTATCCTACTCCAAGAAAGGCTTGTGGGTTTATATTGCTACGTTGATTTACAGAAACATACAAATTGGCTTGGAGGGGCTTGCTTGCAATAGCTAAATCTGACTATCCTGAGCCTACTTTAATGTACCATTTTAAGGATCTCCAAGCTTTTCTGTTGAACCCTGGATCATGGTTTTAGGGACGCTCGTATTTGGAGAACTGTCAAAAACCTGGTATAGGACCATCGTCGTTTGGTTCGAGTTCTGTTTTTTCTGATGCTGGAAGTGCTGTGCGAGTAAGTCCCGACGTGAGTCAGCTGAAGTAGGAAATGGACTGAATGTCTGAGGAAGTTCAGAACAGATTTTTTGAGTTGTTTTTTTTTTCTTTCTTGGCATCTACTTCACTATGCTACAGTCGGTATCATTCAGGGTTAAAGATTGAAAGGACTTTCTAACTTCAAAAGCTGACTAAATAGGTCGTTGTAACATACCTGTGTCCTAGTAGTTTCTGTCTGGCCTTACTGTGTTTTATAGCTTTACTGATGCTGTATGAATACTTCAGCATCTTTGTGAAAACTTGTTAGACATGAAATACTGTCTAACTGAAATCAGTGATGCATTTTTTTAAGATACTTTCAGTGCAGGCTATAATTAATCCTAGATCTCCATGACTCATGACAAAAGCATAGGAAAAATTCCTTAACTCTTATGTTGTTCCTGGCTAACTCCTTTGTCTCTGTTTATCCTCGGAGGTAGCACCTGTGGGCATGCCTGTAAATTGCAGATTTTTTTTTTTTTGTGAAGATTTTGAGGATTTTAAGTATTTCAGGCCGAAGAAAACTCCAGAGACTCCAGTTACTTCTTTTAACATATTAGATTAGTTAAGAAACTTGCTACAGTGGCTCCTTCAGAAGTCTAATGTTTAGAAGTTGAGTATTCCATAACATCGCATAATAGAACAGATAGACTAAATGTATTCTGTTATCTCATCTTGTAAAGTCTAAGGGCTCCCTTAAACTTCTGTGAGGGTTGCTAGAGCTGCTTAGCTTCTGCCTGAGCACTGCCCCTAATAGAGTGATTCACTGTTTGGAGGAGAAAGCCATCTCCTTGCAGTGTGCTAAAATGGAGATTGTTTCCACGTTCAGGCTCTTCCAGCTCAGTGTGGGGTTAACAGATGCTATAAGGGCTTTTTTTCATACATTTTCATTTAGTTGCAGAAGGTTGGAGACTGCTTTTGAGAGCCCCGACATCCTGATTTCCTCTGTGCTTTCCACTGTGGCAGCACTGTGTCTTTATCTTGTATACTTAGGACATGTTGCACTCACAGCAGTTTGAAGTTCAAACAGCTGCTTGAGTCTGCTACTGCTGTCCTGCTGCTTTGGTTGATCTAATAATATAATCTCAGTGTGTGATGGATTGCTCTTTTCGTAGCAAAGTGTGCGTTTTCACAGTATGCGCTCAGGAAAACAGATATATCTTGTGTTGCAAGATATGCTTATCTCTTTTTCCCTGGGACATATCTTGCATTGTGCTAGATAACAAAATACTAAGTGGTGCCTAGAGATATGGGTGTATTGGTGCCTCGGCTGTGCTTTTCCTTTAAGTGAGTAGAGTAGCACAGTTCAGATGCAGTTTAGCTTAATGTAGGTGAAATTAAGGGAATTCTTATTTAACAGTATTGAGCTGTTAGTTTGGGCTTGCTTTGTAACTGTGCAGGCCCTTATGAGTCAGAGGTACGCTGGAGCTCTGTAATCCTTTTCAGGAAGCCTTTGCAGGGCAGAAGTTGCTTTGTACTTTCGTTTTTAGGCTCTGTCACTTCCTGGTGATACTGTAAGACTTCACATACCTTGGTTCTTGTGAAAGTAGCCTGTGAATTTTTTTGTGGTTGTTGTTGAACTAGAGGTGTAATAATTTCAATAATTTTGTGAGAATTACTGTTCTTCATCCTCATTCAGGTGAGGCCCTTCTCCAGTCGCAGCTTCTGAGGTTTCTTAGCTTTGTCTGAACTGAAAACCTTAAGTTCAAACATGTTTGTTTACTTGCTGTGCAGCATAATGCAGCTAACAACGCTCCCTCCCCTCCACCCCCAGACTTTAGAGGGTGTTTTCACAACTCGGCACACAGGCTGACTCGGCCTAGGAGCAACTACTAATTTAGATCAGCAGCATAACTTCCATCTTCTGGTTTAAGAGGATTCGATTGCAGGTGTCTGCAGTAGGACCCCGGGGATATTTATCCTGCCCTTCACTATATTTCTATGAATCTATATGTGTGTGGCATCTAAAGTGGTAGTGCTGTCACAGTGATGGAAATCCAGGCTCTCCCAGTCCTTCAGACCTGTTTCTCTGAAACTGGATGATATTGCGGTTAGTACAGGATTCCTGGCTTGGACAGAGTTAAGTAACACAGCTATTGTAGTATCCTGCCTTTCTGTGATGGTGGAGGAGGCTTGAACTGAGAAAGCAAGGCATTTGCCTTCTGTATGGTTGGTTTGTTGCTTATGGAATACGGATTCTGTACTCTCACGTGGCAGAGGAAGAAATTGTCCATACTTTATGGACAGTGGAACAGAGCAGGCTGCTCTCCTTCCTTGCTGCGAGAAGGGCCTGGCAGGAATGTGGGTGCTGCTCTGGCGGGGGTTAACTCAGGCCAGCGTACAGGTTGTGGAGAAGCCTCCCTGTTAGCCACATGAGAGTCTCGCATCCAGAGGTAGGAGAAAACAGATCAATAAGGTAAGTAAGTACAAGAGAGAAAAGTGAATGTTCTACTAAGATCAGTGATGATCTTAATATCAATAATGGCAGTGAATATGGTAATTTCTGTTTTAAAATTGGCTGTCTAGGGTAAGTTGCAAGGAGTACCAGTTGAAAGCTTTAAAATTAGTGACAGAAGAGACTGGATGCTGAAGGCAGTGTGTGTCGTGATACCTGTTTCACTCGTGTGGACTTTTAAGTGTGAGTGACCCTTGGACTTCGGTTCATTGAATCTCTGGATTTGTCCTTTCATAAAGCTCAGCAATGAAGTGCTGTGTACTGTGGAGCTCTTTCAAAGAGCCATTGTCACTCTGGGTCTTGCCTTGGAAATTTGAGTAGGTAGATGCTCCAGTTGGAAGCTGTCTAACCACTCGCTCAGATTTGTGTTAAAAGTAATGCTGTCCTGTCCCTAGTGGGACAGATAGCTTCCCTTTCTTTCAGTAGTTTTAAATGGATTCTAGGACCAAACTGCCCTTGTTACCGCTTTTTGGCCATCGTATCTGTCCCCTCTGCTCCCACTTCAGTCAGTGTTCTAGAATAGCATTCATTTTCTCAAGTATGCTTGTTGAACTCTGCTATTTGATGGTTTGTGCTCAGTTTTCAGCCTACTGCTTGCTTAGTCACTCTTCCACAGCACAAAGCGCCTGCTTTCCTACTTCATGAGGCTACTGAGAACCAGAATTGGGGCAGGGAGAGCTGGGAATCTTTACGATTTAGAATCAAATCTCTTAAGTGTTCAATTCTAAAGGGCCAATATTGCTTGGGATCGTCACTGTGTAGGGAAGGAAGGGTAGTCCTGAGCTGATGTTCACAGCTGGTAGAAGTTGTTACTAACTTTCCAGTGCTGGCTTTCAAACTGATCTCAGATCTGGCTCTGTGCCTCTGGATTAGCTGGAGTAAAGCTCTGAAGCCCCACTGCAGACTTGGGCTAATTTGAACAATCTTAACTATACTACTCTTGTTCCTTTTGTTTTACAGTAAGATAGCATGCTGTTGGCTCTCTGCTCTTACGTTCTTAGGCTGCTAATAATTAACAAACATGCAAAAACTTATTTTTAGGATGTCGAGACTTCCCACTGCTGTACAGAAAAGCTCTGAAGCATCTGTACTGTATGCAAACTGGAATGTCAAAGCAATGACCTTCACTTCTTGTAACTCAATGTTATAGTTTATTTCCTTATAAAGGAAGGAGTCCCTGGGAAATAGTGCAGGTCCTTGCTGATCTGAAAAAAAGAAGGGGTTGAAAAATCTGTTCTCTGGCCACCAGCTGTTGGCACATGTTTGCCAGCCAAACAAAGGACTACATTAATTATAGTAGTGCTGGAAAACTCCCTCACAGTAGGAAGCAAGGATGAACTTCATATCAGCTCCCGAGTTTTAATTTGGGCACCGAGTGGTGGTGGTGGGGGGGAGAAACTTGTCACTGATAGGTAAGAATGCCTTTTCAAAAAAGGTAGTATGTCTGCCCTGCCAGCTTGTTACAGCTATTACTGTAAGGTACATTCCTTTTATAGGAAAGCTCTATATTTATAGGAAGGTGCTTCAGATATTTCTCTCTGGGCATACCCAGGAACTTCATGAACTACCTCCCAGATTGGCTGGTCTGAGGTGATAGCATGGTAAAGAGAAGCTTGCATGTTCTGAGGTGGAGTATGTAGAGTTCCTTAGTTACTGATCTGAATCACTAGCAGTGCTTAGTCCTTTGGACCCATATTTATGCAGTTTAGTTGACAGACTTCTTATTCTCAGATTGTCATAGCCTGAGGAGAAGGGCTAAAATAACTTATGTTGGTGCAGGCTGTCAAAATGATTGGATGGGGACTTAACTACACAGTTTTCTGTTTCTGCTTAATCAGTCTTTCTCAAAGAAAGACTAGTTAGTGTGAAGTAAATGATCAGATTTTGATTTTAAAGTGTCTGATTTGGATGCTGCTTTCAATATCACTTTTCTACAATAAGACCTGATTACCTTACAGTTGCTGATAGAAATGTATTTTCTTGAAATTTAAACAGGAAAAAAATAAGAAGGTCCTTGTCATGATAGCATGTTCCAGTCTTTAGGACTTACTAAATCATGGCCTGTTACACAGCTCGTTATACACCTGCTTGTGATGTTTTTGCAGTGCCCTGGGATTAGGCTTTGTGGAAGGGCAGATTTGTTTCCTTACACAAACCTTTTGACTGGGGCGGTGGTTTTGGCAGTAAAGGTAAGTCATACCAGAAACCCTCGTACCAGTACTGTCTAGGACTTCAGAGTTAATGATTAACTCCAAAGAGAGTAGAAGAATCATTGTAGGACTGAGCAATCTGTATTCCATATCTAACATGCATGTATGAGCACAATAGTATCAGTTTGTGCTTGTGGAGGGATGCTACTTACTCATCCCTTGTGTAAATTCATTCTGAATAAAGGTTACTTGTCTCTCTTTCAACTCCAGGAACTTTCAAACTCACAATAGAATTCACAGAAGAATATCCGAATAAGCCACCTACTGTTCGATTTGTCTCTAAAATGTTTCATCCCAATGGTAAGTACTTAGACAATGGTTTTTTTTGTTTGTTTGGGTTGGTTGTGGTGGTGTTCTTATAGCTTGCTACAGTGCTGTAGAAAAAGGTCTATTTATAAAAGTTTCCACTATCTAATAAGCTAGCAAAATTCCACTGAGGTTCTGTGTAGGGTTGGTAAGGATGAATATGTGAGCAGTGCTCAGGCTTGAAGTGAAAGGGGCAATAAAAGGAGCCTCTTACCTTTCAGGTGTTACAGCACAGTATTGATGAGACACTCCTCTCTCTACTGCGTGTTGTTAAACCTTACAGAAGAATATTTTGTACTTAAATAGCAGTGCCTTGCACTTTGGTCTATACGTATTACATACATAGCATAATGACACTGCTGAACGTGGTTGTCTTTTATCACTTCCCAAAAATGCCTGTAAGAATGATATACCTTGAAATGTAGTGCTAGTTTCCAATTATAACCGGTGATAGTAAGATCATTTAATTAATCCCCTTCCTTGGCAAGTAAAGGTTGGAGACATATTCCTTGCCTCCAAACAAGTAATAAGCTTTGTGAAGAAATACTGGAAACTTTAAAATGTAGCAAGAAAACATGTGTGGGTAAAGTGCACTGAGGGAAGGTTCTTCTAAAGCTGCCCTGAGAAGGGTGACTAGACACTGTTGTAGATACTTTCTGGCGAAATCTTAATATGTAAACAGCTTTTTAGTTGTGTTCTTCATTTGGTTCACTTGTGGGTAGTTTAAATTTTTTTTGCCTTAAAATCTATTCATGGTTTTCCATAGTGGTAGTTACAATGTCACAGAGAAGCTTGATGTTGAAGAATAAGCAGGGGTTGAGTTTAAACACCTCAGGCAGCTGTTGGTGACAAGCTTCACCTCTTCATAGCTACAGGCTTGTTTGCTGGATTTAAGTCTGTCAGACACTACTGATTTTGGTAGCGTTTGTCAGTATGTAGGTTTCCAGAATCACGCAATACTAGGAAAAAACTGAGTAGCTCTACAACTTCTGTTTTAAGCCATTCTTCTTGAACCTTTTCTAGTCTATGCAGATGGTAGTATATGTCTGGATATTCTTCAGAATCGTTGGAGTCCTACTTACGATGTCTCCTCCATCTTAACATCCATACAGGTAAAAAGAACTTTGCATGAAAAAGCAGAATAAAATTAGGATGCTTTGACAAAAACAGCTCGGGAAACATGTTTGGGTTTTTTGTTTTGTTTTGTTTTTCTCCCAATAGCCAGTATAGCAGCTATACCTTGATATTTGCTAAAGTATGAATACTTCCCAGATGGAAATTGACCGGACAGTGACAGGAGGTGGTCACTGAAAGGACCCATCCAGCCATTGCACTGCTTGGGTGTTGCTGCCTGGCTGTCACTTAAAGAGTCAGCTGCACTGCTAAGATAGCGAAAGCTTCCAGTAACTTACACCTGGAATAATGCAGTGTACCTTACCTGTATCTAGATGAACTTCTGCACTCTCACTAGGAGGGATAGTTTAAGGATTATGTTGGAAAACTATGCATATTTTCCAGTGCCTAAGAATCTTTTTCTCTTCGTGCAGTCTCTATTGGATGAGCCAAATCCTAACAGTCCAGCAAACAGCCAGGCAGCTCAGCTATACCAAGAGAATAAGCGGGAATATGAAAAACGGGTTTCTGCAATAGTAGAACAGAGCTGGCGTGACTGTTGACCCAGGATGATGCAAATGAACACTCTGTTGATGAGGAAAATAAACAAAGTGTCCGAGTCATCTTTTTCCTCCTAGCATTTACTTTGAAAGCAGAATAGCTGTTGTGCTGTTGCCACCCTCCCTTGCTGAAGCTTCTTCTCCTTGGACATCAGAAAGCACCCACTTTGAAGTCAAGTGTTCTGTACTTGGGTTACTTGCAAAAGAGTTACTGATGCTGAATTCATTTTCTGTGGTCCCTCTCCAGTCTTAGGGCAGTATTGTGCATTTCTGTAGTGTACACTAAGCTTTTAATTGTAATTGTGTTATACACAGTGATGCTTATGTGTAGCTTGATAAAAGGGATGTTTATATACATACACATTTTTTAACTGATATTAACTAAAGTGCTGATGTGTCCAGGCTGGTCATTTACCTCTATTGGTTTAGACCCCACTGCATTTGTAAGTACTGAGTGAAGAAATAACCTCTCGTTTCCCTTTTGTATTGGTTTATCAACTCCTTACTCATGGAAAAAAACCCAACTCTTAAATTGATTCCTATTCAAACATTTAGTAAGACTGTGGAATGCTAGTTACTTCTGCACTTCACATGCAAGATTTATGTACAGATATACATAAATCTCTACAGTTGTGGTATTTTGATCTTTGCTGAGGGTGAGAAACAACCCCCCCCTTTTTTTTTATTATTTTATTTTAAAGGACATGCCTACAGAGACTGCTTCAATAAGTTTCTATAGTCCTGTCACTAAGGCATTACTGGACAAAACCAGGTAGAGCTGTGGTACTCTGAGCAAAAGTCCTTCCACATTAAGGAAGAGGTAAAACCTGAAGTGTTCCAGTGGTGGAATTACTCTCCTTCAGCGTCGTTTTCCTGCCCCTTATCTTTAGCTGAGAAAGATAAGTTCTTTGGGATCCAACTTAGCCTTGTGGAAAGTTTGAATAAAGTACGGGGTAGGCACTTGAGTCTCTGCAGTTTCTGCTCTTTGTAGATGACTGTGTGGTTTGTGTGAGCTACTGCTGCATGCTTGGGTTAGTTTCCCTTCAGTTTTATGAAAGTATTTTTTCAACTGAAAAAAACATTTGTAAGTCCAGACTCACTTTTTTTGTAAGGCTAAGTTTGTACATTTGGATACAGTACCTTAAGCAGCAGTGTGGGATGAAACCTACAATTGTGTTGTCCACTGTTCCAGTGTCTTTTGTGTGCACATTGGTCTGTTAGTTGAGAAGTTTAACTTTGCACAAGTAACCCATGTAAGAAACTGTACATTTTTCAAAAGTTGTAAATAAAGTGTAACCTTAGTGCTTATTGTATAAATAGGCAAGAGGTGTATAACTGTGGTTATTTTAACTGGGAGGGTAGGAGTCTGCTGTGGGATCCAAGCTCCAGGTAGACTCTTACAGCAGGATGGCGAAATACTTCCTAACCTTCTGGGCAGGAGTTGTGCTTGGGCAGAAGCTCTGCCAGGTGTAGCGCAGAGAGAATAAACTCGGCCCTTCTGGCCAGAAGGAGGTGGCAAAGGAAGAAGACAGGGCAGGATCAACTAACTAGCAAAGAAGTGGAGAAACAGACACAAGTCTTGGCAAAAAAAGCACTTGCAGGAAGCTCAGGGCCACGTCATGCCTACGAGTGAACCACTGACAAAAACGGAGCCTGTGATAACATGTTAGTTACAGCAACTTAACAGGTGCAGTAATGAATTGATAGAGGAATCACATTTAGTTTTTCTCCTGTCTTATAAGGAGGAGAACAGGATTTAAAATGACTGACACGTAACAAAAGCTAGTACTGCTGCTTAGCAATTAAGATAGAAGCTGCCAGGCTCTTTCAAAAAATTAAATCGGGATTTATACCTGCTGCGGTAACAGCTCATACCCTTGAACGGGCCTTTCATCTTACATAGAGCAGCCTTTTACCCCTGAAGTCCTACCTAAGTTATACTTGCTCATTTTCTTAAAGGACAGAGCGTCTTAACTGGACCCTGATAACGGCCAGATGTGGCAATCTCTTAGGTGTGTGTGGAGAAGGCAGGACAGAGTGAGTCTGCCTCAAGTAATGGTCTTTTTGTTTCTTAAGCATTCCCTGGGCAAGACTTCGCCAAGTCAGAGCCAGTCAAGCAATGAGCACCTTAGCTGTGCCCACTGTTATAGACCAGTGCAAATAAGCAAAACCCAGCCCCGCCACCTGCATTGATAGGGATGACTGAAGCCAACCAAGAGTATCATCTCAACCATCACCCCTGTACCAGCCAAGCTATTGCAAGCAGAAATCTTTCTGAGTGCTCCAAGTCACTCTAACGTCACTGACCCTCTCCTCAGTCCCTCCATTTTTGTATTTGTCCTGCTAGTCACTAAAAAGAAAAAGGATGGAGTGGGCTCTTAAGGCAGCCAGAAACAAGAGCAGCACAGATCTGCAAAAAACCCACCTCACCTTTACACCCCTCTCAGGTAAGGCCTTCATCCACAAACGTAATTTTAAACCACATACTGGCTCTCCAGAAAGCTTACAGCTACGTAACCACAGCGGAGATGGCAAGGCTGACAATTCTTTAGCTCAAACAGGTAACACCCAGTCATCCAACCCTACAGCCACTCACCAAACAGGAAGGCAACAGACAGGTCCTGCACAGAGGTACTGCCCTTGGCAAAAACGGGCACCCTGGAGAGGGAAAGCAATGACCTGCACAGGCTCAAGCCAGACACCTACCCCTGTTGAGACACCGTTATGTTTAGCCAGCCACCCCCCTGCCACCAAAAGAGGCATTTTTTTCATCCCAAATACTGCAGTGGTGCTCTTGCTGCTTTTCTCAGCACCACCACACTTTGAAGACTTGCTGCATATCCAAGTTGGGAGGGGGCAGCTGCACTCCTTCTTGCAGGAATATCTGCCTAGAAAGGACCAGGCTTCTTCCACACCTACATCACCATCTGCTAGAGCCCAGCATTCAGAAGTTGAGAGAGGGAATAGCGCACACAAAAAAACCAAACAACAAAACCAACATACTTCCAGAATTCACTGCCAGATTATTTTTCTACAGACACAGCAGCAGCATGTTTTTATTTTGGAAGGCCAGGCTAAGCAGAAGCTGTGCTGCAGCCAGCCAGGCAAAGAGAGGAGGGAATGCTCCTTCTCTTCTTCCTGAGCAAGTCTTACCTGCCAGGGCAGCCTCTTCCTTTTCACACTGTGGGGATGGAAATGCCTCTGACTGCACATCACCAGGATATTCTGCTTCATCAGTAGAGGTCAGTCACCCCCTCCTCAGCGCTGAGAGCATTTAGAAAGAGAGCAGGAGGTGGGAAAAAAGCTAGAGGATAACATAAAAAGATGGAGAGGCACATACAGGCAGCAGAAAACCAAAAGCGATAACCAAGACACAAGGCAACAGAACAGACAAAAAAAGAAATACTTCATTAGGACCAGCTTTGTGCTAGAGTCATCACCCTACTGGTGACAGAAAAACCCAGCGCCTCTAGGCACATCTCACTCTTGGCTCTTCCAAGGTCAATTCCAAACCTCTGTTTTCCAAGCACGAAGCGAGCGTTCCTCCAAGGCTCACAAAGCACCGTGTCCTGCGGTACTGCCGGCGGAACAGGGCGGAGGTCCGACTCTGCTTCCCCGGCGAGAAGCGCTCCAGCCTCCCGGCAGCACGTGCCAGTCCTGGAGAGACGTCGCACTCGCATCGCACATCGGAGCAACACCAGGAAGTTTACTTGCGAACCGCCCTCGACGTACACAAGCACAGGTACAGTAATGGAGCAGAGAAATAATTAGGCACAGATTTGACTTTGCTCAGGATTAAAGAGCTTATATTCAAAGTAAAAAAAATAAGTTATATAACAGTCCCCACAAGCTACACGAGCATCTTTGAGCGTGGGCTCTGCGTTTACCTCGTTTTTATATTTCACACTTCACCATGGTATCTGCACATGTCAAGCAGTGCTGCAAGGTAAAAACGCACTGAAATTATCTCAGTCGAATACATTGATGATTAAGGTGCATTCAGGAATTCTCAGTATGGGAGACCCAAGGTAGAAATCTATGAATAAAACTGTACTGTTAAACTGGTTAAGGACATCTCTCTACATACGTACACAGCAGAGACAAGACCTCACTATGCACATTTCTCAAGAATAAACGCAGTTTTCACACTTTTTTTTTTTATAAAAAGTGTGACAAATCCTGGGGTTTTTTTCCAGAAATAAAACTTTATTTTTATTGTCATTAATACCAACTTTACATACAGGTTTATTCCCCCACACTGCATTTCCTTTGCTTTTTATTATTTTATTTAAAAAAAAAAAAAGGCATTTTTTTCCTTCCTTGGTCAAGAAGAATAAGGGAACTATAATTTTAAATGATGTCAAATTCCTTCTCGTTGGACATGTGTTTTTGCTATTACAAAACTATTAAAATGTGAAGGAACAAGTAATATCAAAGACACATACAGTAACAGCACTACTGCTTTTGGGTTGTGCTAATATACTTGAACAGAACCTGGTCAGTTCTAAACGTCTAACAACATTTTAGAAATTATATTAACGAAGTGAAAGACTTGAACGTTAATATAACCCACAACAAGAAAAATGCAGCATCTCTTTCTTTAATCGAGTATCTAGGAAGCTCAGTCTCCGGTAAAATGGGACGCCTAACCTCAGTTTGCTTGAGGCATAATAAGCTCGTAATGCCCAACCTGGCCTTCCTGCTTCAGCTGGTCTAACAGATCCTCCTTGCGCCGCTTCCTGCTTACCACCAAGTATCTGTTGTGCCCCTGCCCGTGAGATTTACTTTTAAGACCATATTTTTGGGCAATCTGATGTATCTGCTTCCGCTCATCCATGGTCAGTTCTCTAGAGAAAGTCAAGTCAATATGACTTTCTGAGCGTGCATAGTTTCGAATGATCTCTTCAATATCTCTTTTAGCGATTTTGTTCACCCTTTCTACATCAAGCCCAAGTCCTTCCCTTTTAAACTGCTCCTTCACTGAAATAGGCTCTCTAATTCCTTCACCATCTTTCCCTAGGCCACCACCTGTCCAGCCCATCTTTCTTAAAATTTGATTCCCAATATTGTCTTCTTTGATCTTCTGTTTGAAAGCCTCTTCCGCTGATCGACCCCGAATCTCATTTCTGGAGATGACGTCTTCGACGGTGCCTTTCTTCAGGTTATTAACAACAGTTGGCTGAGTCTTTTTGAGGATTTTCACGGCTTCCTCTGCTGCCTCATGCTTGACAGATTTCTTCACTCCAACTGCTTCTGCGATGAATTCATCTTCAAGCAGCACCTTGCATTTCCACCGCATGCCAGTCATCCTTTCAAAGACATACTCCACCGTCATCTTGTTGAACTGGGCGGTGTCATTCAGCGTGCACACTGGATTATTGGAGTTTTCATAAACCACGAGGTCCTTCAGGTCCTTCTTCCTTCCGGAGCCCCGCGACGAGCAGCCCACTTTCTGAACCTGGGTCACTTTGATGGCTGCTATATTTGACTGCATCTTCTGCAGAATTTTCAATGCCTCCTCAGCTGCTGCGTGCTTGCTGGTCTTTTTAGTGCCAAATCCCTCGGCTAGGCAGTGATCTTGCAGATACACTTGACAACGCCACGAGCGGTTGGGCATTAATTCATATTTATATTCAACAGACATTTTGTTATATGAGGCAGAATTGTTAAGTATTCCTATTGCGTCACTGGCATTCTCTGTGAGGACGAAACTAGTCCAGTGTTTGTTGGTATTAGTGGAACCTTTTACAGATTCAGTACCAGGCTGCATTGGGACACAGTCCCTGTTGGCAACTACAAACTCCTCATGAGGTTTGAGAGCAGGAGGGAAATCTGGGCGACTCACGCCTGCCTCGCACACCACCAAGTCTTCGTGATAGGTATGCTTGAACTTCCGCTGAACAACTCTAACTTCCACAGACTTCTTCAGCAGCTTGACTGCCAGCTCCGCGGCTCGATCCCTGGATCCGTTTTTGCTGCCGGCGTAACCGGTGGTCAGGTAGACATTCTGACATCGCACTTCACAAGCAAAGCCATCTGTTAAGAGCTTCTTGCTCTTGGGGAGGTCAGCAGGGGCAATTTCTTTCAGAGGAACATAAATATATTCAGGATTTGTCTTGCATGCCTGAATTGAACGTGTCAAAAGATATGTATAGTTAATTTTATCGGTCCCAGTGTTTGCATCTGGGTTCGCAAGATTTTTCCAGATAGCTGCTGACAGTTTCTCAATAAAACTCTGCTTCAGCATTATAGCTGACGGAGGGAAAGTCTCTGATGCAGACTGGACAGCTGCAGGAGAAACTGCCACCTGCAACACACTGCTTG